CAAGCATGAAATAACAGAGATAATCATCATTCCAGTGTGCAGTCCACACTTCAGACATGTAAGAGCAAAAAAGCTTGAAGAAAAATGCAGTGCAAAAACACGGCAATGGAGTAAATATCTCTAAAATATCACACTGCTCAATTAACTGACAAATGGTGAAAAGCGGAAGAAAAGGTCAACATTAGAAAATCACTTCCAAATCAAGAAATACTTCAGAATAAGCATGACAAATTTAGTTCGTTATTAAGAGCAAAGGGTTCCATGGTCTGGAGAGCATGAATTCATATTTCCTCTCTGGAAAAGGTTGATTGTATTAACTAAATTGCAAAAAGGTCAAATGTGTTCAAATGTGTTCTATTCATTATATATATATATATATATATATATATATATATATATATATATATATATATATATATATATATATATATATAATGAATAGAACACATTTGAACACATTTGACCTTTTTGCAATTATTTTTGCAAGATATATATATATATATATATATATATATATATATATAATATATATATATATATATATATATATATATATATATATATAGATAGATAGATATAGATATAGATAGATAGATAGATAGATAGATAGATAGATAGATAGATAGATAGATAGATAGATAGATAGATAGAGAGAGAACATAGAAATTAAGATAGAACATATAGAACATATAGAACATATATCATATCTTAATTTCCTTGATGATCTTTTTTTATTTTTAGACTGAAGCAGTTTAAATTGGGCATTTGTGAAGCGGAAGTGAAAAAATCTCTGATGTATCAGGAATAATCTGAAATATATGGAAAGACTTTTTTAAAAAGCAAATATATCTAGGCCAGACATCTTCTTGTAGACCGTCTAGATTTGCTCAAATTAATTTACAGTGCTGTGACTAAGAGTTTGATCACTTACATGTGTCTTTTAGACCAAAAATGGTTACAGCTTGCCAAAAACACTGTGATTATTAAAACTTAAAACAATACTTAATTATTTTGTGTAGACTGCTGAAAACAAAAATGGATCATATTGGAAACTGTCTATCCTGTTATATCTGGTGAAAAACTACTGCAACAATTCAGAATAAAATATTGTATTTAGTCAAAGGTGGTGGTATTGTAATGGTTTGAGGCTGCTTTTAGGACCTTGTGCTTGAAGTGCTTTATTAAAGGATAAAGATTCATTATTACCTGTTATCATAAACTATTAGTGACAGTTATCACCAATAACAATACAAATAGTAATTATCATTCGGAAGTAGGTACTATTTTCAGACATGGCGAGATTGATTTGTATATTTTATTTTCAGTAATGAATTAAAGTAGACTTGAAGAAAAACTATTTGTGCTTATTTGACTTCTTTTTGTGTGATTCCAAGATTTTTTTGATATAAAAATATAGTGAGAAAAAAAAACATAAGAAATCTGCAACTGGGCAAATAGTTTTTCAGGATACTTTTAGCTTGTTTATAGATAATGTGATGAAAATTATTATGCTGGGCTTTTATTTTCTTTATCACTGTTATAGAAAACCTGAGTAACAAAAACTTAAAAAGAAACAGATTAGATGAAGATACTGCATTTTCCCCCAGCATCAAAAGAGAGAATAAATTGTGAGAGTAATGGTTTTCCCGCAGAGCCCTAATTATTTTCTTCTCTCAGATAACGCTTTTAAAACTTATGAATGCGTTGTAATTATTCCAAGATTTAAAATGGCACCTGTCAGATTAGATTCAGGACTTCACTGTTTATTAAATATGTGTGTGTTTTTTTCCCCCCCTCCAATATAAAGAAACAGTGCTAAATGTTTCAGATTCACATACCAGAGCTGTGGCAGGTGTGCAAGTTAATAAAGTGGGAAAAATGTTAATTTCTCGTTGTTTAACCTCTTATGTGCCTCTTATGGTTTTTAAAATACATTTACTCAACTTAATTATTCTTTCAATTTATGCAAAGGTTGTTTGCGCTTCAATTTCCTTCAGGGGAAACCCAGCAGGGGGGCTAATCAGTGCTTTAGACACTACTTATATGGGAACATTTGGTGACCCAACACCTAAATAAGACATTTTCTTGTTTCTTTTTTCTACTTAACTGTATGTAGGTGTCGAGGTTCCTGTTACGTTACTTTGTATTTACAAAGTTCTGTTCCCTGGTTCTCTTCTATATTGTCCAAGAGTACTCTGCAAGCCTACATTGCAACTTCCCACTCTCTTCTCCCTAGATAGAAGGTATTGAGTCAGTAATGTTCAAATTCAACTCTATGAGGGCAGTGCTCTTTTGCAATATCTTCCATCTTACTTTTCTTCCTACATTTTCCAGATGCCCTTTTAGTCATCTCCTGTGTGGAGGTACACAGTATCTCCTTCCTCATTCAAGTAGCTATTCTCCCTCTGTTCCCCCTCACTGCTATCTCAAACCAATCTTCCACAGCTGCACAAAAGCTACATTTGTCTTTGGAGTGCGCGTGTGTTTGCATGAATCGTTGTGTGTGTCTCTGTATTTTATGGCCCTGGGGGGGTCAGAGGTGTTTATATGGGAGAGGTGACTCCCTTATTGCTTCTATAACCTGAGTATATGATATGAAACCATGTCATTTACAGTGAATGGGAGCATCTGGTCAGCTGTAAATGTAATCTAATGAAATGAAACGAAAGCCTGCATGGCTGTTCTCACAGTCCTACGACCAAGAGACTGACCGAGTCAGATCACAGGTAGTCGGGGCATGCGACAGAGGCAAAGTATGGGCTCTTTTGGGGTTTGATCTATTCTTCATAATATGGAGCCAGTAGAGTACTACTGACACTCTGCTCCACTATTGCATTATCTCCAGACTCAATTAGTGAAATAGCATCTTTTGAGAACAAAATCAAAGACACAAAGATATACTCCAGAACATCCATAACTCGGATATCTTTAACCAGGCTCCCTTCCATATCGATTCTTATCCAGGAACATACTCTTTCCTATTTTCCCATGTTATGTGACATCAACCTTCTGACCCTCACAGTCAGAATAAAGAACAGGAGCTCAATATAAATATGAAAACAGATGTTTATATACAGTTTATAAAAATATATTGATTTTCTCCTAGAATTACACCAGACATAACTTTTCTGTTTTGTCAGTCAGGGTAAACAGAATTATTTAAATTTTCTGAAGCAGAGAAACATAGTTTAGAGAATATTTATAACATTCTTTCCAGTCTAAAGGTTACATGAACTAAAATTACTACGGTTTTAGAAATGTTCGAAAAGCCCGATGCTTTGTCTTTGTGAGATTACAATAGATCACTTGACAGTGTTTGACTTACTTTGATGCACTCCTGTGGCTGTATTTTATCAGTGCAAAAATGCTGGAAAAGAAATATGGCAATATATCTAGAAGATAGCATTGGACCTGTATAAAACCAGTCCATCTGGGATTCAATTTCAAGCAAACCTTAATTTTTGTTTAGGAAATTAATGGGTTCTGTGTTGCAGAAATGGTTGCATGTTTGTGTGAAATGTGGATATCTCCCCATGAACAAGAAGCAAATGTCCATTCAAAGATGTGAAGATTCTGATTGGTAAGACAGTTTTATAATCCACACAAAACAAAGTCTGAACTACAATAGGCAGAAAGGCTGTTCAGCCATTGCTTCGAAAGTAAAATAGGAAAAAAACCCAGTTTGCAATTGCATACCTTGGAAGATGTGCTGCTGTTTGGTGAAACAAATTTGTAAAAATCTTTCTTTCAATAATTTTAAATCTGCAAAATATAAAGTTGTCTTACCAAGGAAATCATGCTTTTTTATACATAGCTCCATCTCATCTCCTTGTTTTTCTGTGATTAGCCCTCTTTCATTATAAAAGGGAATCACCTATTCTTTATTACGATAAGCAGTCTAGTATAAATTGCAATCTGAAGCCTGTAACCTTCAGATCGTAACACTGAACAGGAACCTTTGCCCAAATTAATGCCTCAAAATCCTGTGAAAATGCTTCCCAGAAAAGCGGAAAGTATCATGGCAGCAAAGCATTTTGTATGCCTTCAGCTTTGTAGTTTAAATCTAGCAGGGAAGGCCTTGACAATGGCAGCGCTTGGAAAGTGGGAGCTGTGGAATCGCACTGTGTCACAGGTGACACACACCGACATTAACAGCAACGAGAGAGAGTCATTATTCTTTCCTAGATAGCAAAGCTAGATAGCTGTGTTGAGTGTTGATGGTTGCTGGGAAACAAAAAGGGGTTGACAAGCAGTGAAGACTGACTCATTGTGATGACCAAGCAGCTTTCCCTTCTATGTGGGGCCATTTCTGCATTTTTCACTTCTCTGATTAGCATTCCCCGACTCTCTCCATAAATCCAACAGTATTCGCGAGAGCGTTGGGCATTGACTGTACAAGGCTGCTGAATGCGTCATTATCTCTAAGCCCACACTCACACGGTTCCATGAGGGAGATTGAAAAAAAAAAAAACAAATAAACTGGGAAGCATTACAGATAGTTAAAAAGACATCAAAGACAATGTTTTTATTTATTTATTTTTTCAAAATGTAACTGTAGCAATCTTGATGTAATGTGAGGTATAGAACAGGACGCATTTATTTGGACCCCTGGTAAAGATCTGAATATTGAAAGATAAATAAATACATCTTTCTCTGATGTTGCGTAGCTTAACACTGAAAACTGATGTTTAACTTAATGATCACTGGGGGTCTTCTAGCTTTTCACATCCTATAAAAGGATCTTTTACCATCGCTGTTTGCATAACCTCCCTCAGATTTCTGAGTCCTTTCTTGCAGACTCTGTTCTTCGTGTGTTCTTGTAAAATTTGACAGGTACTGAGACGGCGATGGAAGAAGGTTGATTTTGTCTTTATTGATTTGGCTACTTGCCAACCAATGTGACTGGCAGGGTAGAGGGCCTACCCATTAAATAAGAAGCAGTCACTATTGATCATTTTTCTGAAGTTTATTCTTCAATTGGTGTGTTTTTCTACCAACAGGAACTCTACGTACTGCATGAAGGTCTCCATGGCTCTGGCAGTGGCTGAAAATGATACAGACCTCTGCTACAACTCCAACATGAGAATAACTGAGAAGGCTGAGCTCGGTAAGAGGTTCCACATCCTATGTCCAGAAATAGATGACTACGTTGAACCTGGGAAGGAGCCTGAAATCACGTGGTATAAGGTAAGCTTTAGTTAATGAAAGGGATTTATTATATCTAGTCTTTCAAGATTTGTTGAATGTTGAATTTTGTCTGGATATTGATGCCTTCTTGAAACGAGCACCAACAGGTTTCCGTCTTTGTGATTATACAGCTAGAAAATATTTTTAAATGCTTCTTTATTTTTCATCTTAATTTTTTGCTGTTTAAATTTAAAAGCTTTGTCGGAAATACAGCTCCAAATCACTTAGTCAGATTATGTATGTGGGCAATTACTTAAGCTATATTTGCAGTGGTCCACACAGCTCTCTGAGACGAAGAGAGAATAAACACTGTGCAGATGGCAGCCACAGCAATGACTTTCATAATGAGCACAAAACTTCTATGAGAATAAAATTGTGCAATGTCACTTTGTGCCCCGTGGAAAGACTGGATGCCCTACAAACGCTCCTGCACCCTGAGTCACCCCTCCTCCCCTCTCTTGGGTCCTTGTCTCTCCCAGGTCGGGCACAGCCTGCGGACAACAAAGTGCATCCCAACCACAGGGTGGAGGCCAAACTAATCACAGGCAGATCAGCAGTAGATTAACTGGCCAGGCTTGACCTCAAGTTCTCTCGAAAATTCAATTACAATCTGGGTAATGACTGGGAGTGCTGGGACCCAGAGTTATTTGGACCTCAGTGGAGCCTCTGTGATTGAATTCAGAAGCTGCCGGGAGCAAGGATAGAATAGAATCGTCGTCCTCCCCGACAGAGCGTCAAGGAGCTGGAGAGCGGATCGTGTCATATAGTTACTCATTGTGCTTGCACACGGATACACTCGCATTTGCACAGAAGCAGAACAAACACACTTATTGTGCCAGAAGAGACTTCTGTAAATAAAATTTTCCTTCCTTTGTGGCTTTAGTAGAATATTGAAAGGAGAATATTCAGTTCAGTGCAATAAATCATAATCAGATAAGTAGGATAATGGCAAAGCCCGATCATTTTACAATATGGAATTATTTTGTCAGTGTCAATCCATGCATCTGCAACAGTTTATCCAGTGGCTTAGAGCTGCGTGCTGTTCCCAAAGACTTTGTCAAGCTTGAATAACGACCAGTGCTGAAGATGAAACTCTGCTTTGCTGTGCCTTACAAATATATTCACACTCTTTGAACTTGTTCACATTTTATGTTAAAAATCAAATAAGGTGTTGTGTTTTGGGGGGATTTTATTGGGTCGAACAGCACAAAGTAATGTGAACTTGAAATGAAGAAGAAAATTGATGTTCAGACATTTTAAAAACGTGTGGTGTGCATGTGGATTCAGTCCCCTTTACTCTGATTTCCTTCAATAAAATCAAATGCTACTTATTTCCTTCAGGCAAGAACCCAATCTGTAAGTAGACCTATGTCTAAATTAATCTCAGTACAATACAGCTCTTCTCAGGATGACATTAATTAGCAAAGCAGTCAAGAAGCTGAACAGCTCCACTGTAAAGGTAGAAGAATCTGTTGGCTGATCTTGCTTTAATGTGAGTGACAAAACAGAAAATAAATTTTAATGAAAACCATTACAGGTCTGTTTGCAGTGTGGTATAAATCATGCATGGCAAACTGCATGACTTTCAGTCATATGTGTACCTGTCCACAGTACACAGATGTAATAAGAATATCTGTTTAATGGAGGTAAAAGGGTGAACTTTCTGGTCTTCATGCTAATGACCTTGTGGGCCAGAAAACAAATACTGCATTGAGACTGAGGCAAGGGGTCACTTGCAGCAGGAGGGCCTGCATAAACAGTATGCAGGCAGTTCTACAATAGTTTAAATCAAATCTGAGTTTTGTGTTACACTGGCCCAGTTAAAGTCCATATCTAAGTTTATATCAAATTGAGGATGTGAGACCAGACTTGAAAATTGACTTTCACAGAAGCTGTTTACTCAATCTGACTGAGCTTGAACTGTTTTGCAAAGCCTTCAGATTTAATTGCGGTGAAAAGTGGCTCTACCAATTATTGACTCAGGACACCTGAATACAAATGCATGCCACATATTAAAGATTTTTAGCTTTTTAGGTTTTAGAAAACCATACATCATTTTCCTTCCATCTTAAAATTATGCACTATTTTGTGGCGATGTAGGACATAAAATATCAATAATGTGCATTGAAGTCAGGAGTTGTGATGTGACAAAACGAGAAAAAAGTGTTTGGTATCAATACTTTTTCAGGAGTTTGTAAGCAGTGTTTAGGTCTCATTTTTCAAACTGATAAGAATTGTTTTGCCATTTGCAGTTCAATGTACTTCTCTATCGCTTTATTGCCAGTTTTCAAGTGAGGCATTATCATTGTTTAAAGATAATATGAGACACTCTAACCTGGCTATCCTTCTCTGTTATGTAGGAGTGTCGTCCAAAAAAGTGGCGGGCCACTATCTTCCAGAGGGGAGACAAGTTGTTCTTTCAAGAAGTTAAGGAGGACGACATTGGGAATTACACCTGTGAAATCCAGTTTGGCGGCTTTGTTGTCAGAAGGACGACGGAGCTCACAGTAACTGGTATGAAGACGCACAAGCTACTGGTTGTAATATTTGTTCACAGAATTAGAATTAAAGGAAAACAAAGTGGTGTAAAAATACACACACACACACCTGCAGACTTACCACTGTGTAAAGCAATGATGTCCTGCTGCTGTGTTAATTGTTGGAGGAGGCTGAATGCTGTTACCTGGCCCCCATTTCTCCCTCTAGCTCAGCAATTTCCAGTCAGCCCAGCAGTGCTGAAATATTTAAGGGTATAGGCTAAAGCCCTTTACGCAGAGAGCTAAAGAGCCAGACACAAGGTCAAGAGATTTACTATGAGTGTGGCTGCCTATTTCTCTCTCTTTCCCTCATTACTTGTACAGGTGCCAGGAGGACATGCAACAAATAGATACATCCATAAGTCCAGTGGTAGTAGTTATGTGTGTTGTGATATGGCAGGCTGCTTTAAATCAAATACAGAATTATTGCAGTTTCCTTAAAAAATTGTGGCAGTAGTGACCTAGTAGTCAGAAAAGAAATGGGCAAGGTAAGTGGAGAGGATGAGCAGCCAAAAGTTGGTTGTGGTCCAAAAGTCCAGAGCGCCATCCATCCATTTTCTTATATCTCGTGGGGTCGGGAGGGTGCTGGTGCCGATCTCCAGCGAATGTTTTGGGCAACAGGTGGGCTACACCCTGGACAAGTCGCCAGTCCATCGCAGGGCAACACAGACAACCATTCACACACACTCACTAAGGAGAATTTAGAAAAACCAATTAACCTGACAGTCATGTTTTTGGACTGTGGGAGGAAGCCGGAGTACAAGGAGAAGACATACAAACTCCATGCAGAAAGACCCCGGGCTGGGAATCTAACCCAGGACCTTCTTGCTGCAAGGCAACAGTGCTGTTGCCTGCGCCACTATCCATCCTACCCCCAGAGTTGAGAATTTCTAATTGTCTTATGGGTATTATAGCACTGATCATTCTCTCGTTTAAATGTCTCCATGTGTGTATTCGTTGGAGAACATAGATCCGTACTTTAACATTCATTAAAGTTAACATGATGTAAGTTTGCACCTTAGGAATGAATTTACAACCTGAGATAGATGGCAGTTCTTTTAACAGCTTTTTACAATTTGTGTTTTCATTGATTTAATTTTTAAAAAACATTACTCACACTGGAACCTCTTCCAGTCGTCTTGCAGTAATAACCTCTGCCCCAAAAATTGTTGTTGTAAGATCAACATGATGTTTGTTGTGTGTTTACGGATTGGGAAGAGATCACATTATGCATTTTTCATCAGCTTTTCACTAGTTGATTTGACCCAGTTGAAAATCGACTTCAATTATAAGCTGATTTCTCTGTGCATTTCTACTTACACAGCTGTTGTATTTTAATGCAGAGGCTGGCTAACTCTACAATCACAGAATAAATCACAACACAATTTTTGTCCAATTATCATGGCTGACTAGACTATAAAAAACAAAGCTAAAAGAGAGAATTTATCAGCGATAAGGATGCCGGATCACGTGATGATATGCAGACTTCAAATGTAATTTCAACTTTTTCAAAAAACATATTCTTTGGTAATCCAGAATTTTCTAATGTTTCTTCATCTTATTATTGATTTTTACTCTTTTGTAATTAAATGACAACTTATCTATGCACGCTGATACAGTTTTAAAATTTTACTTACACCAAGGATGGCTGAATCTGGGCAGACATACTAGTTTTTGTCTTTTTACTATCATGCCAATGTCTGCAAAGTTATCACTGCTTCCATATGAGCAGCTTGAGCTGAAAGCATATCCAGACATTTATTCACACCAGGAAAAGCAGGATTTTATTACGCGTCAAGGTCTGTGTGTTTTTAATTTTGTGTGTGTGTGTGTGCATACGTTACTGGTAAAGATTTTCATTTACCAAAACTTAGCAGTCATTGCCACAATGAAAATTTTGTCCAAAAATAATTTACAGACTCTGTAATTTGCAGAAATTAGATTTTGGTTACAGCAAAAGGTAGATAATCGTGAATGATGAAATGTTGATAAAATGCTTTCATTGTAAATGAGAAAATGTAAAGTTTTTGGCAGTAGCTGGCAGTGTTCTACTTTTACACTGTTGTTTTATTATCGTCATGATCACAGATCGAATGCATTAGTTATTAGTATTTTTATCTTGTGTCTTTGTTATTCTGCATGATACAGGTGTATCTTAATGAATTAGAATACTTAAATAGTTTATTCTTCAGCTTTGAAAGTTAATCTCATATTTTATAAATTCATTACATGCATATATCCCAAGCATGTTTCTACTACTTCTCAGGATTAAGGCTTACAGCTAATGAAAACCTAAAAGAATCCCTGAGAAAATTTTAATATTGCATGAGACGAATAATAAAGGATTTAAATGCAGAAATGTTGGCACACTTACTACTGTATTTGTGTGTAATGTGCAGAATATGTACTAGGTTTCCTTCTGCTAAAATCTTTACACCAGTGCTGCACAGAACAGAGTAGATCAACCGGTGGTGTTTTCGTCAAAGTATAATGGTCAATCCAGCACAGTGATTTTATGCTCATTAAGGCAGGTATTGGTACTTTTGGGAGGTTGATGCCAGGGTAATAAGTCCTGCAGGGAAAAAAGGAAGTCAGCACCTCTATTAGGTTTGTCAACACAGTGAAAACATGATGATCTCTAAAACTTCTTGGGTGACAAATCCAGACATTTTGCTCTAGATGCCAAGCAGACTGTACTACTAGACTATTTTACATTTGTTTGGTCATGATTTTGTTCAGACTCTATGGTTCTCCTGATTTCTTGTATTGATCACCTTTTTCTATTATTCATTTCCTCCCAATTTTACTTGATCATGTTTGCATAAAATAGTGTACAGACAGTCAGATTATCTTGCAATTATCGTTTCTGGTTTGTTGCCCTTCAGGTGTCAATGACTGTCTGTCACTCATGTGTCGAATCAGCATGACCCTCTCCTCCACAATTGTGTTGGCCATAATTCTGGAATAAAAAAAATATATTTGTTGCTTTTATGTAAGGTTGAACTTTTTTAGAAACTAAAGCTTTCATTTTGAGTAGCTCCAAGCCATAATACCTAAAACTTGAAGAAATTCACTCTTGAAATATATCCCTGTGCATAAAGAATTACACTTTTTGAATTGAATTACCTTTTTCAATTACATGAGTTAAGATGCTCCTACAGTATATTGTGCTTCCTTTGGCTGTACTGCGGTGTGTTTACTGGCTTGGTGGAATGACCTTAGCTTTTACTATGAGGTTGATCATAAAAGTTAAATATGCTGTCTACATTTTTAATACAAGGAGGTAGAAAAATAGGATGTAAAAGGAAAAGAACCTTCTCATTTCCACTTTTTATTAGCTCCATATGATGCAACAAAAACATTGGAAAAAGAGGGCAGCCAAAACCAATGTAAAATACGAGATATGAAAAGTACTTTGGGAGAGCGGCTACTTTGATAGACATGAGAGAAACAAGAAGAAAACTGCAGTATTGAGTTAACTGTTAATATTCTTTTAATATTTAGTGATTATTTTGTGACCTTGGTTTGCTAACTGTTAAATTTATATATATAAATATAAAACCACACTACATAGAGCAGCTTGTTTCCTCTGTAAATACACTATTTGTTACCATTTTGCCTTATTATGTACATTTTACCTTATTACAACAGTGGGCTGCCTCCTCTTTAAAGCTCTGGTATCCGGATAGAATCAGATTAGCTCATCCTCACCATGGACTCATTTCTTTTAATAAACCCACACCATCATCCCCTCAAGTGGGCGTGCGATTACCCACATTTTATCACATCCTGTTAAACCACCATTGCCTAGACAGCAAGTATAAAAGGCCAAACTATGTTTAAGATCTAGGTACTAATGTTTTACTGTTTTTTTTTTTTTCTTTCCTCCATAGGCCAGGAGGATAAAGGAGGTCATTAAGTTTAACTGATCCTGAATTTTGTGCAATAAACACTAGCTTTTACTCCGACCCTGACTTGCTCCATATTGAGTGAGGTATATATGCTTGTGTTTGCGTGTGTATGTGTGTGTTTGCTGTTCTCACTTTGCACGACTATATAAAAGACGAGACAGGGCTGCTATATCTGAGATGAGGTCAGCCTTGTAATAGAGGTTAACTATGGGTATAAACAAAGGATCACAATGATCAGGCTGATCCAGAACCTCTTCAATCAAGTGCTGAAGTTACTCAGGTTAATAGAAATTTAAAGCAAATGGGGAGCAATGCCTCATTGCTTTATTTTACTTTATTTTACAATGAGGGAGATTTTAAGGAATTGAACTTGTACCAGAACTGGTTTAATGTGATCCAAGTCATGACAATTAAAAATGTATAAGTGTAGCCATAATTACTTGTATATATACCAAGAACATCAAACTTCAGTAAACAAAAAGCATCATCTGAGTGCAACAAACTCCAAGTCAAGTTCTGACAGAAAAGACGATTCACAAAGACGGCACATCAGCCCAAGTTGTCACTTTGAAACAATTGTCTAACAAGTAACTTTGGAGATTTTACTTTGCTTTCCACCATCCTCACTGTGGGTAAAAGAAATGTGTCTGCACGATATTATAATAATTCCCTAGGTATATGGAAAGTTGTGAATCTAAACAAAAGTTCCTAGAAACTCAAATCAATTAAAAAAAAAATAGAAAACCTTTCAGTTATGATTATTTTTTTAAGTATTCTTAGCCGTAATTGCTAAGAATACTTAAAAAAAGTATTCTTACTTTTTTTAAGTAAGAATACTTACTTAAAAAATCCCCCTACTGATTGTGTTTAAAAACATGAATTTAATAACATAGGACTATTCCCCTACTGCACATAAAAGTTTTCTTTCTTTCTTGAAGGAGTTGTAAATTAGCTTACGAACCACCATATTTCTAAATACTTTTGTGCGATTTCGTTTTTCCTTTTTATGTGTAACTTGGGGTTTATATGTCTGTTGTTTATTGCATGTCTGAATCATTCTTTGCTC